CACAACACCATAATAACAGGAAAGACATAATTAACATGGAGTGTGAGGATAAACTGTTGTTAACATTGATGAGACTGCGACACAATTTTGGTCTTAAAGATCTGGCTTTTAGATTTGCTATCTCCACTCAAGCAGTGATTTGCAAAACAGGATGCGAACCTCTGGCATACCGTGAAACGTTGTAAGTTCGCAAGTCCCTGTCGCAGATGGAAGAAACTTGTAAACTAGGCCTGCTGCACATCAGATCTTGTCACTCTTAGATATTGAAGAATGGAGGAAGGGTAATACTGTATAATTTTGGGAATGGGGCATGGGGTAATAATGAACTGATGATTTGTTATCAACACAGAATTAATGCTTTGTCCTTAAAAAGAGGACAAAAGGGAGGAATAAATGTCTATGTTATGCCTTTATGTAAGCTGCTATTCACTTCATTTGCAGAACTTGGATAAATGCATTAAAGGAATAATTAAATATAATTAATATGACTAATGTTTTAGACTTTTTATTTCTTCACTGTAAACAGTACATGTAGGAACAAATGTTTTGTATAGGGCCTACTCCCTTGTTTTTATTTGGATGTAATCGCACAGTACAGCAACAGATGTCGGAGATGACTGTTAACGTTATCAATGTCCACCTTTTGTTATATATAATTTTTGCATTTTGAATGACTCATTGACTGCCATGATTGTACGTTAGGCCTGCACTACAGTCTGTAGTTTAGGGTACACGCATATATATAGGGGGTTCATATATGATCATATTGCTATAGGTAAGATTACACACATAAACAGTTTAACACCAGCTTGTCATACTTGCCAACTTTTTAAAATGTCCATCGGGGAGATTAAAACAAATGTATGTATGTACTGTACACCCTAAGGAAATGGCATCTTTTGAGCTGTTCTTTCAGATGAAATTTTAGCAAATTCACTAGTTTAACTTGCTCAATTTCTTCTCTTGGCCTAGCACCCACTATCACATGACATGATCTTCAAATAGATGAAGGTGGTCATTACTATGTAGATGTAAAACTCGTGAGTCTCCCTCCTAAATAGGGAGAATTGCCAAGTATTGAGCCGCGGATACCGCTATTTAAAAAAACGTCTGAACAAGGAAACCAACCTACATCACTGCATGATATTTTGAACAACCGTTTAATTAAAAAAAGAAAAGAAAAACGGAACTCGACAGACCCAAACTGGATAATTACCCAGCTGAACAGTATGCGTCCTTAACACACTTCTTTGTTAAGCCTACTGTACATGTAATGTTAACAAGTGTGGCTTCTCCCCCTTTCTCATGCTTCGGTAGCATCTCCCTTCGATTGCCACCTCCGCTTGGACATCATTTTTTGTTAAATTAAGGTTGTGGACATAGCCCTCTTTAAAAATAAATAGTCCCCCTGGATAAACATTTTTCAGAAATGTTTGCATCTTGAATGTACCCCATACAAAAATCATCGGGAATGTCCCCGAGTCCTGCAACAGTCGCTGCCGCCATCGCCATTGGCAAAATTTTACTATTGCTTGTTTACATTTGTTGTCGGAGTATGTAGTCACGTGACTTTGGTTGCTACGTGGGGGCGGGCCATGGAAGGGTGAATTCTGAGCTACATTGCTTCAAAGTGTCATAGCGAAATTTTCACCAGTGAAAAGATACGAAATTTAACCTTGACCTTTGACCTAATGACCTTTACCTATGGTCAGTTGACTCCTTGTTTATTTCTAATCAACTTTGCTTCATCATGTCATAACAAAATGTTGCTCAGTGAAAAGATGTAAATTTTGACCTTGACCTTTGAATCTAATGACCTTGACCTTTGACCTCGACTTTATTTCCTCAATGTGTCTCTTTGTTTAATTCCGAACAACTTTGCTCCATAATGTCATAGCGAAATGTTCACCAGTGAAAAGCTACAAAATTTGACCTTGACCCCTGACCCGGTGACCTTGACCTTTGGTCAGTTGACTCCTTGTTTAATTCTAATCAACTTTGCTTCATAATGTTATCACAAAATGTTCATCAGTGAAAAGATTTAAAAATTGACCTTGACCTTTGAACCGTATGACCTTGACCTTTGACCTTGACTTTTTACCTCAATGTGTATTTTTGTGAACTGAACATCTTGACCAAGTTTCATGTACATCGGTCAATAAATACCAAAGTAATCGGCCAGGAACAAAATTTGTAGACGGACAGACAGACAGACAGAGTGATTACTATAGGGCACCCGTATCTCCGATACGGGGGCCTAACTAGAAATTGTTGGCTTACAATTTGACGGGCTTTTCACTGTAAGGACTGATTTGGCCTTCTTATAATAACCTGTGCAAGTCTACAATAGCTGACCGAGTAGTGGGGGATTCCCGGAGTGCGAAATGACGTCGGAGAAAGAATGGATAAATATAGGCAGCCAATGGGCTTAGTTGACTGCGAAGGTAGTACGTAAAATAAAGTCTGTCCACTATGTACGTCAGGATAATGAATTGAAATAGGTTTTTGTCTATATCGGTTGTGTTTGCCATGCCAAAGAAAGGCTGATGTTTACCTACCGCAGTAGAGATGTAAACTGTCCCTACTTTTAAGATTGAGAGTGCGTAGTAATCGATGTAGTATTACCAGCGTGTATAAGATGTCTTGATACAAATCAAAGTACTGAGAGTACTGAGCGCACTTCACAATCGCACAAAAATGAAAACAGTTTTTGACTTTCACCTTTGAAATTATATTTGGAGTAGGTCAAGGTCGTTCAAGGAGACATACTTTCCAAAGCGAAAGTAAACCAAGTTTACAAGCAGACAAACACGGGGAAAAAAGTAATAAACTATGACAGTACAAAGTACGCAATGTAGAAAGAATTTCTACAGTTTGTCAGGACCATGAGCTGATCATTCCTAGACCGAGTTTCAGTTAAATCGGCCTATTAGAACTTGTTTTTAAGTTTGAAATAGTTTTTCAAAATGGCGGCCGTGGTGGCAATATTGGAGTTCTGATCGACCCGAAAAATAACAACACTTTGTCAGGACCATGAGTCGATCATTCCTACCAGGTTTCAGTTCAATCGGCCTATTAGAACTTGTTTTAAAGTTTGAAATAGTTTTTCAAAATGGCGGCCGTGGTGGCCATATTGGATTTCTGATCGACCCGAAAAATAACAACACTTTGTCAGGACCATGAGCCGATCATTCCTACCAGGTTTCAGTTCAATCAGCCCCGCAGAACTTGACTTTAAGTTTGAAATAGTTTTTCAAAATGGCGGCCGTGGCCGTCATATTGGACTTCTGAACGACCCGAAAAATGACAACACTTGTCCAGGGAGAACCTTCCCATGAAATCTTAATGAAATCCCTTTGCCAGTATTTCAGCTTAAGTTGAAAATGTAAAATGTAAACGGACGACGGATGACCACGGACGAAGACGGATAGCAATAGGTCACTTGAGCTTAAGTTCAGGTGACCTAACAAGGGATCAAGGGGAACCTACATATCAAATTTGAGAAAGATCCCTCAAGTTATTCATGAGAAATAGTACTAACAAACCTTCAATGTCAACAAGATGCCCAATGGGCCTGCATCGCTCACCTGGTATAAATCTCACACTTGTAACCTTAAAAGTGATCTAAAATAAAGCTACTGGCAAAATAAAATATCAGTATTTCTAAATCACGGACAGTTCGATTCAAATCGAAGTAATGACAACTGAAAAATGTACTGCCCCCCAGTTAGTTTTGAAGGGACTATAATTTCTTTTATTCTTTAATTTTTCAACAGTCGCCCAAACTATTTTTATTGGGCCAGTGACTACCTCACATTTGACAACTATTGGTCGCTTGAGCAAGATTTTAATCACCATTAGCGACCAGGCGACCATCAATTTCAGGCACTGCTGCACAACAAGGGAACAAGGGGAACCTACATATCAAATTTGAGAAAGATCCCTCTGGTACTTCTTGAGAAATAGCGATAACAAACTTTCACTATCAAAATACAAGATGGCTGCCTGTCGGCCATGTTGTTTATCTGATCAGTCTCAAAAGTTGCCCTGCACAGCTAGCACTAGGGACCAAGGGGATCCTACATATAAAATTTGAGAAAGATCCCTTATGGTACTTATCGGGAAATAGCGATAACAAACTTTCACTATCAAAAACCAAGATGGTTGCCTATCGGCCATGTTGTTTATCCGATCAGTCTCAAAATTTGCCCTGCACAGCTAAGGACAAGGGGAACCTACATATAAAATTTGATGAAGTTCCGTCTGGTACTTCTTGAGAAATACGGATATCAAAGAATTGTTTAAGGAAGGACGACAGACAGACGGACAATGGACCACTAACGCAGGGTGATTTGAATAGCCCACCATCAGATGATGGGACCAAGGACGCAGGGTGATTTGACCTAAAAACAGAGGTCGGAAATTTACACACAGTAATGGCGGACCGCATGGCACACCACCAGCACAAGTTGAGTACGACCGAAAAAGGGCACAAAAATAATTGTAGTAAAAAGGGCAGATGGGTATAAAGCACACAAACTGCGTAATAAATTGACTTGACACTCAAACCAATCCAACAAAACAAAGATTTGATATGGAGCTAGCTTTGGACCGTCAGCAGGCAGCAGGCGCCATAAAAGGAAGAGGATGGGAGATCACTCTGTGGCTCTGTCATGGAGATATTGGTGATGTCATGGTAGGGAGGTCGGGATATTTGAATCTTTTGTTTTTGGGCTACAAAGATGGGTGTATGTATTGTTTATGCATACTACATACTAAAGTTATGGCAATTATTACTGAAATGAAATAATAACTTTGTAATGTCATGTTACTTCAGGGCGCTAAATATCCCCCGTCTGGTGGCCCGGGGCCAGTAAATTTGGTTGGAAGGCAAGTGAAAATTTCTGTGGACAAAAAGGTTGGAAACAGATATCGATGAATTAATTAAGATAACCAAATAATAAGAAAGTTTTATTTTATGTGATAAATTTAAGGCATACCTGATTGTCTTCTCTGGAATCTGTTCGTTGGGGGCTCTGCAATAGGAAGAAAAATACAATTATATAACTTACAATTTCCAGTCATAGATTGTTCATCTAGAACAAGAGGCCCATCTGGTAATTTAAGCAACCTGGCAAAATTCATCGAAATATTGCAAATATTTCCCCATTTTAACTCTGGACCCAAGGATGCTTCACAGCAAATCACAGGGACCTGAGAATTTGTTACAGCTATATATATTTGGACTTAAATATAAACTAATGTGTTCAGAGTAATTTTACATGTTTTAGGGGTGTAGAGCGACTTACAAGAGTACCGCGGGGCGGAAGAAAATACGCCCGTCGAATGCCATATAGTGTTATATACTTTATCATATTGAAATAAGACCTGCATCATTATAAGAGTGGTTAGCTGATATGCTATAAAAAAGGTAGGAGAAAATCTTCAGACTAAAAATCAAATACTGAAATGAACAAAAGGCAATATTTTTTGCAAAAATCGTTGAATCAAAATTCTTTTAAGGGAGACACAACTTCATATCATGATTATAAAGTATACCAAGTTTCAAAGAGATCGGTAGAAAAATGTAGGAGATTGCCAGACAAAAATCAAATACTGAAATGAATGAACAAAGTGCAATGACTTTTGGAAAAATTGTTGAATCAAAATTCTTTTGAGGGAGACACAACTTCATATCATGATTATAATGTTTACTAAGTTTCAAAGGGATCCGTTGAAAAAAGTAGGAGGAGATTGCCGGACAAAATTCAAATACTGAAATGAACAAAGGGCAATAACTTATGGAAAAATTGTCAATCAAAGTTCTTTTAAGGGAGACACAACTTCATATCATGATTATAATGTTTACCAAGTTTCAAAGAGATCGGTCGAAAAATGTAGGAGGAGATTGCCGGACAAACAAAGTTTACGCCGGACGGACAGACGACAACGCCATAATTTGACGGTCGTATAAAAATGACGCCCCCAATGAATATACAAGAGGCCCAATGGGCCTGCATCGCTCACCTGGTATAAATCTCACACTTGCAACCTTAAAAGTGATCTAAAATAAAGCTACAGGCAAAATATCAGTATTTATGATTAAAGTAATTCAAATGAACCTGTTAAAAGATTTTAAAACATTTCACCCCTGTTACTTTGAAAGCCGAACAAAGTCATTATGTTGAACAAATTGTATAGCCTTTTATCTCAGTATGCATCTTGCAAAGTATCAACATCCTAGGACCCATGGTTATTCAGAAGAGGTCGTTTAAAGATTTTTAACAAATTTGACCCCTGTGACCTTGAATATTAGTCAAAGTCATTCACTTTAACAAACATAGTAGTCCTTGAACCCAGCATGCTACTGACTAAATATCAACATCCTGAGCCTTTTGGTTATTCAGAACAAGTTGTTTAAATATTTTGAACATATTTGCTCCTTGTGACCTTGAATATGATTCAAGGTCATACATTTAAACAAACTTTGTAGCCCTTCATCTCAGCATGCTACTGTCCAAATATCATCACCCTGTGTATTTTGGTTATTCAGAAGAAGTTGTTAAATGTTTTTAACATATTTGACCCCTGTGACCTTGAATAAAAGTGAAGGTCATTCATTCAAACAAACTTGATAGCCCTTTATCTCAGCATGCTACGCGTACTGGCCAAATATCATCACCCTGTGCATTTTGGTTATTCAGAAGAAGTTGTTTAATGTTTTTAACATATTTGACCCCTGTGACCTTGAATATAAGTGAAGGTCATTCATTTGAACAAACTTGATAGCCCTTAATCTCAGCATTCTACTGGCCAAATATCATCACCCTGTGCATTTTATTTTGGTTATTCAAAAAAAGTTGTTTAAAGTTTTTAACATATTTTACCCCTGTGACCTTGAATATGGGTGAAGGTCATTTATTTGAACAAACTTTGGAGCCCTTTATCTCAGCATGCTACTGGCTAAATATCATTACCCTGGGCATTTTGGTTATTGAGAAGAAGTTGTTTAAAGTTTTTAACATATTTGACCCCTGTGACCTTGAATATGGGTGAACGTCATTAATTTGAACAAACTTGATAGCCCTTCATCTCAGAATGTTACTGGCCAAATATAATCACCCTGGGCATTTTGGTTATTCAGAAGAAGATTTTTAAAGTTTTTCACATATTTGACCCCGTGACCTTGAATATGGGTGAAGGTCATTAATTTAAACAAACTTTGTAGCCCTTCATCTCAGCATTCTACGGGCCAAATATCATCACCCTAGGCATTTTGGTTATTCAGAAGAAGTTGTTTAAAGGGTTTTTTAAGACAATTGACCCCTGTGACCTTGAATATAATTGAAGGTCATTCATTTGAACAAACTTGGTAGCCCTTCACCCAAGCATGCTACTGGCCAAATATCATATCCCTGGGAAGTTTGGTTATCGAGAAGAAGATGTTTGAAGTTTTTAACATATTTGACCCCTGTGACCTTGAAAATGGGTGAAGGTCATTAATTTGAACAAACTTGATAGCCCTTTACCCCAGCATGCTACTGGCCAAATATCGACACCCTAGGCCTTTCGGTTAATAAGAAGAAGTCGTTTAAAGTAAAATATTGACGCTGGACGCCGGACGGACGGACGGACGAATGGACTTGGCACAGGTCTTGGCACTTGGCTGACGACACTTCGTGCCAGGTGAACTAATAACCGGAAAATACTACAAGGAAAATACTAGAATGTTGGAAAGATGGACAATTTTCTTTTACAAATCTCCTATATGCACGTAAAATGTATTCTCCTTCTGCAGACATGAACTATGTTTCCTCCAAAAACACAGTCATTTCAGAATTTTTATGTTATTCGCAGTCAGCCTGCCATTTATTTTAATATTAATGAGGTTGAGGTCAGCGCATGCTGAAACATGCATGTGTTGGTTGGTTTAGCGAAAAAATGGCTGCCAATCATACCACAGGTCTTGGCACTTGGCTGACGACACCTCATTAATATTAAAAAAAGTTGCAGGCTGATTGCGAAAACCTTTGAAACTGAAAAGGCATGTGTTTTTGGAGGAAACGGAATTCGAGACTGCGGAAGGAGATTACATTTTACGTGCATATACAGTACGCTTTAGGTGATTTGATACTAAAACCCTGCGAGGGCGACAGTCCCTGCCGGAGAAATCACCCGAGCAAAGTCGCAGGCGCTGATGAGTGTTGGAGATTTACTTGTCGATCGGCAGCAAACTAATGTACTGTGCATTGCTTATCACCGACAGTCCAGGATGCCTGAATGCTATATTTATATGCTATATGCAAGAACATTTCATGCAATACAATATAGTAGTAGAACATGGTAAATCCGACAAAAATATCATTTAACCAATTTTCATCAAAATCGGACAATGTCTAAATTTTGACCAATAAGAGGCCGACGTCCGGATGACAAGTCAGATCATACAGATGACGGATCGAAAAACGAAAATACTTTTGCTCACCATCTGTCATACACAAACACTCATGTACAGTTTCGTTGAATTCTGCCCTACCGTTTTCGAGAAACATGTCGGAAACCTTGACGGCGGATGAAAGTGGAAAAAATAGGAATAGTAACAAGAGGCCCAATGGGCCTGCATCGCTAACCTGGTATCTATCTCACACTTGTAATCTTAAAAGTGGACTAAAATACAGCTACAGGCAGAATATCAGTGTGACCTTGAATGACAAACAATGACATTAGGTTGAAAGTGGGTCAAGGTCATTCATTTGTACAAACTTGGTAGCCCTGATTGCTACATGCCAAATAACAGTACCCTGGGCCTTTTGGTTATTGAGAAGAAGTTGTTTGAAGATTTTAGGACATTTGACACCTGTGACCTTGAAAGTTGGTCAAGGTCATTCATCTGAACAAACTTGGTAGCCCTTCATCCCAGCATGCTACGGGCCAAATATCATCAACCTTGGCATTTTGGTTATTCAGAAGAAGTTGTTTAAAGGTTTTAAACATATTTGACCCCTGTGACCTTGAAAATGAATGAAGGTCATCTATTTAGACAAACTTGGTAGCCCTTCATCCCAGCATGTTACTGGCCAAATTTAGGCACCCTAGGCCTATTGGTTATTCAGAAGAAGTCGTTCAAATGTTTTAAACATATTTGACCCCTGTGACCTAGAATATAAGTCAAGGTCATTTATTTTGACAAAATTGGTAGCCCTTCATCTCAGCATGTTACTGGCCAAATATCATCACCCTATGCCTCTTGGTTATTCAGAAGAAGTTGTTTAAAGAATTTAACATATTCGACCCCTGTGACCTTGAAAATGGATGATGGTCATTTATTTGAACAAACTTGGTAGCCCTTCATCCCAGCATGTTTCTGGCCAAAGATCATCACCCTATGTCTCTTGGTTATTCAGAAGAAGTTGTTTAAAGAATTTAACCCTTAGGCTGCTATATTGATTTCTATGTAAACGGACACCACTGCTGAATTAATTATTGAAATTTAGATTAATTTACTTGATTTTTCAAATGTGCATAACTTGGAAAATATTTGTTATATGTGAAAAAAGGTTATATGAAAATTGTTCGTTGTTGTCTCTAGTTTATATTAACGTTTTCAATTCTAAAGTTGCTTCAGTATTTACCTGTACAGGTGGTAATAAAGGTCAGAAAATGTGAAACTTTTAATTAATCGGATTTAAGCAAGAGGAAGATCATTTTAAGATTATTTTCGTCCNTGTCAATGTTCAATTCGGCCTCACCTGCCGACGACATGTGCGCCTCGGTCCGCCGATATTTTCCTGTTTGCGTAGAGCACAAAGCCGTTTACTGGAAAGTTACATATTATGTAACACCGAAGTATTTCCACATCAACCATGCAAAACCTTTTAAAACCTTTATTATCATCGTAGGTGACGATGGAGAATAAATGTTCACCATCATATCATATTCATCGTGTCAATCTACACGTCCGCCATTTTTATGATTTTTTTTCGATTTGAAATTCTCTCGCACACCTTTGGTTATTACTAGGGTACACTGCCGGAAA